TCTCTATCAAATCAATCAATAAATAAATTTTAAGAAATCTTAATGGTCCTAAAGAAAAAGAACTGAAGGAACAATACACACTCTTTAAAGGTTTCATTTATCTTCATCATTTTACATACACAGCAACTAATGTCAAACAGTACTAAGAACAGTAAGAATTATCTTTCCTTCATCAGAAGTTGCCCATATAATATCTAAAACTGAAACATTTTGTTTATTAAGACTGAGCAAATAATCAGAATATCAGTTCCTTTGTCTGTAAAATGGAATGCCTTAAAAGGAAAATACAGTTGGACTTAGATCACGTTTTCAGTGTACTCAGGAGAAAAAAGATTCAGAGGTGCTTGGGTGTAGTATGAAGGGTAGACTTACCCCTCTCACAGTCTTCAACTTTGTCTTTTTCTGTTTAACAAATCTTATTCTTAGAAAATACAAATTCTTTACTTCATAAAAATGATATTGAGCCCAAGCTATCTATATTTTCTAGTAAAGTGAGGGTTTCGTACAGCTAGATCTTATTGATTTGATTTAAAACAACAGTATAAAGTTCCCACTGGGGATGGGTTGGGGGGGTTATCTTAAAAAATATCCCAAAGCCTCGGGTAACTGTTTTGACCACCAAGAACAGTTAACCAAACCATCAGAAGCATTTAGTAAGAAAAAAAAAAAAAGAAAAGAAAGAGAAAACCGTTTTCATGTGGCACTTTATAAAACTGAAGTTACTTTCTAGAACAGTGGTTCTCAACCTGTGCGTCATGACCCCTTTGGGGGTCGAACGACCCTTTCACAGGGGTCGCCTAAGACCATCAGAAAACACATATATAATTACATATTGTTTTTGTGATTAATCACTATGCTTTAATTATGTTCAATTTGTAACAATGAAAATACCTGTGCTTTATTATTTATTTTCAAATAAGAATCCTTAAGACAGAGATTAAAGGTCATAACGTTTACAAAGATATTTACATTACGATTCATAACAGTAGCAAAATTACAGTTATGAAGTAGCAACGAAAATAATTTTGTGGTTGGGGGTCACCACAACATGAGGAACTATATTAAAGGGTTGCGGCATTAGGAAGGTTGAGAACCACTGTTCTAGAAGGATACAGGTATTGAAGATTTACATTAACAATAAAAGGCAAGTATCAGTGTTTGAAACGAGTAGTGGGAATGGAAACATGGGAGTAGTGCAAGTAAAGAAATCACCTAGCCAATTAAAAAAGCTGCAAAGAATCATCTCAGGGAAAATTTTGTTTCAAAATGGAAGAGATTAGAATTATCCTTTTATAGTAGTGTAAAAGCTATGAGAAGCCCAGCCATCACGGCTCAGTGGTTGAGCATCGACCTATGAACCCGGAGATCGCTGTTCAATTCCTGGTCAGGGCACATGCCTGGTTTGTGGGCTCGATCCCTGGTATGGGGTGTGCAGGAGGCAGCTGATCAGTGACTCTCTCTCATCATTGATGTTTCTATCTCCCCCTCACCCTTTCTCTCTGAAATCAATAAAAATATATTTTAAAAATAAAAACTATGAGAAAAGAAGTGCTAGTTTCATCATGATTATATTTTTCATAATGCTTGGGAGTTTCTGTAACTCAACTTACTTTCTAACCCATGTTGCTCTATTGCTTTCTTGTCCTACCACTTATATAGCCAAACTTTCTTTAAAAGAGTTTCGTTTATTGTTACTGCCTCCACATTCTTCCCCACCTTCAAGTCAATGACACCTCAGCCAATGCAGTATGGTTTTACATCTTACCACACTATTACACTACTAAAAATAACTTCCCAAGATCAGCAATAAACTTCATGTTAATTCCAAATTCACCTTGCTATTATTTTCACTGAAGCTTTTAGGACTGTTTACTATTCTTGGAAGTGTATTCTCTATTCTCTTCTCTGGCTTCTGTATTGCATGCTACATTTTCCAAACTATCAACAGCATATGTGGCTCAGAGCTATTTGCCATCCTAACTACCACACCTTCAGAGTTTAGTTCAAATGTCAATCTCTGTGTGAAGTCTTCCCTGATCCAAAATGAGGTTAGGGGTCTCTCCAACATGTTCCCACAGTATCATGCCCTATCAAATCACGTACCATTCTTTCTAATACGGCATTTTATTTATCTGCGCAGCTAACCTATATATTATCTGAGGCAGGCATTATATCTTTATTCTCCACTGTGTTTCAAACACTTAGAAATAGTGCCTGCTGTGCTGAATGAATAAATAAATAAATCAATAGGGGGTTCTCCAGTTACAAGTGTAAGCAAAATTTACACTGCAAATCTCCAGTCATGATTCTCCAGTTATAATGGCTAAGACTGTTGGACAATCTACCAAAGGCACTGAGAAAGTTACACAGAATATTTATAAGCAGATTGCTCCAGTATTAAAATTACATTTAAGATTTAAACTAAGGAGGAGGTGGTTATAATAGAGCAGAAGGGGAAATGCCAAGATAAGGAATGCTTGTATATCCTAGGACAGTGGTCAGCAAACTGCGGCTCGCAAGCCACATGTGGCTCTTTGGCCCCTTGAGTGTGGCCACGAAGTTTCAATCACACTGTATGTGCACGCCCGCATGAGGTATTCTGTGGAAGAGCCACACTCAAGGGGCCATAGTTTGCCGACCACTGACCTAGGACAAATTAGTTGGGTCTAAGTATTACCTCACAGACATTTTATAAACTGTAATCCTATATGATAAAAGGCCAATATGCAAATCGGCCAAAAGATGGAATGATCAGTCGCTATGATGCGCACTGAACACCAGGGGGCAGATGCTCAATGCAGGAGCTGGTGGTAAGTGTGCTCCCACAGAGGTAGTGCTGCTCAGCCAAAAGCCCTGAGCAGGGCTCAACAGCTGGTGATCACAGCGGTGCTGGTGGGAGCCACTCCCACCTCCACAGCAGTGCTAAGGATGTACGAATGATGGCTCCAGGACTGTGAGAGGGCACAGGACAGCCTGAGGGATCCTCCTGAGTGCAAGAATTTCATGCACTGGGCCTCTAGTCACTATATAATGTCAACTGGCAAAGAGATGTTAAAGAAAGATACCAAAATGATCAAAACATGACTTTAATGTATTTTTAATAGTAGTGCTAATTGTTTTTTGTGTTTTTTTTTATATTCAAGGTAGGTCATGATTTAAGGAGAGGGAATACATACAATTTTCAGGCTAAAAGATGTGAAAGAATATCATATTCAACCCATTTGAAAGAGAAACCTGAGCCCTGACCGGTTTGGCTCAGTGGATAGAGCGTCGGCCTGCAGACTGAAAGGTCCCAGGTTCGATTCCAGTGAAGGGCATGTACCTTGGTTGCGGGCACATCTCCAGTAGGAGATGTGCAGGAAGCAGCTGATCGATGTTTCTCTCTCATCAATGTTTCTAACTCTCTATCCCTCTCCCTTCCTCTCTGTAAAAAATCAATAAAATATATTTTTTAAAAAAAGAGAAACCTGAAATTCAATGAGATTAAATAATTTACTATCCAAAGTTAAATGCATAATGTTAGAACTATGACCAAAACTTGAGAATTTGAAAACTCAATCCCTTTATCAACTAGACGTTTTAACACATGATTTTACTATTTTTCTGAGTTCTCAATTAACTTTCTTTCCAAAAAAATTTTTTTTTATTGATTTCAGAGAGGAAGGAAGAGGGAGAGAGACACAGAAACATCATGATGAGAGAGAATCATTGATTAGCTGTCTCTTGCATGCTCCCTACTGGGGATCGAGCTCACAACCCAAGCATGTGCCCTGATCAGGGAATTGAACCATGACCTCCTGGTTCATAGGTCAATGCTCAACCACTGAACCATGAGAGCTAGGCTCAATTAACTTTCTTTTAAAACCTCTTTTCTAAGTACCTGTACATGCGAAACAATTCGTTCCCTTCAAATAGACCTCTTTAAAGATACACAGATAAAACTCTATAGTAATTATTAGAAAGAGCTGCTTAAATTAAAGCAGAGAATATAAACAGGATAGTTTTAATTACTGTAGAATTAAATTATTTCTCAGATATCTTCAAACATTTTTTTTTGTTTTGTTATCAATGCTTTATTGTTATCAACAAAATTGAAATTCTCTGGCACATAAAGCAATTATTTCTACAAAAAGAAAGCCTACAAATCTTGATAATTTATATAAATAACAGCTTCTCAGATATCTTTGAACATCTTAAGAGGTAAATTCCAAGTCGCTGAATACATCTATACCACAAATATAATTTTCCTATGGTTATTAATAAAGTAAGGCCTTCATAGAAAGATGATGTTTATTTAAGCCTAAAACTTCTTTACTAGACACACTAGTTAATCATCTAAATTCAACAGATTTTAAGAGGGGTATTTTTAGTTAAAAGGAACATCAACTAATTAGTACTACTATTTGCTTTAACTGACAGCACTTGCTGTTTTTAAGAAACTCCATTAGTATAGATCTATATAAGTGAAAATCTTTTTGTTACCTGCAACCTAGGTACCTGCAACGATACGTGCCCTTGACCGGAATCAAACCTGGGACCCTTCAGTGACAGACCCAAACTGACTAGGGCATGAAAATCTTTTGTTATGAAGAATCCTGAAAGCTCCCTAGTGAAACAGTATTAGAGACATTTTATAAGTGTTTTGTATATATAGTTTAAAATTTTTAATTTTAAATCTCTTTTTAATTTGCATGAAAAATAATTCTACTCACTGCCTACCTATTACATAATTCTCCTGTGGTGGTAAAATAAGCTCAGAAAAGATTCAGATGTGTAATGAAAACTTGGGTAAACTGCTGCTTAAAAAAACAAATAGGGGAGAAGAGGACTATAGAACAGGGTCTTCTTCTTTCTCTTCCTTTCTTTATCCTTTATATTTTTATAGGTTACTGCTTTATACAATCCCAGACTCCCAGATCTTCCTCCTTTGTTTAAGTAATAAAAGATGATTTACCCTCTGAAATAGAGTCAGTGCTAGCCTTAAACTACCAGATACTCACCGAGTTAGGGTAGTTCAAGTAGCAGATCTGACAAGGCATATCCTGTGCTGATGACCTTGTATTCATCTGGCGTGTTCGAGACTTTTTACTTGGATTAATTACATGACACTCAGCAAAGAGCTTCTCCAGGTTTCCATCAAAGTACCTGCATTATTTAAACAGAAAGGATGAGAGCCCAGCAATAGCACACTGTTAGAGCGAGCTCTCCAAAAACCTGATTTTCTATAGGGATAAGCAATGAACTGAATTAAAATAAACCAAGATTATAACTTTTTTTGTTCAGAGGAAATGAGTTATATAGCTCAAATTGTAGCAAATGGAAGTATACAAGTATGAAAGCAGGTTGAGTTTTTGTTGCTATTTTGATATTTTTATTTTGCTTTTATCCTGAGAAGTTAAACTATTAGTATTTTAATAGTACTATAATTAAAACTTAGGGAGGAAAGTTGTACTATCTCTAGTGATGCCTTATGCATAGTAATGCTATTTTAAAAGGCGAGACCGTATTATTTACAAATAAATTCTTTTCATTAAAATTTGTTATACCAGTTTAAATATAGTATTAGTAAGTAAACCTCCAAGTGCACCTCCACCTCCAAAATATTTAAAAAATGAAATTACATGACTCATTTACAAAACAAACTTGCTTTCTGAATATTCCTTGAAATACTTTTAATTTACTAGGAAAAGGGGAGAAAAAAAGCACAAAAAGTTATACCTTAAAATATTTTTATATTAAATAGTCTATATATTAGGTTTTCATAAAATACATATCTATATATACATTATGTAGTTCACTATTTAATATGTCAAGAAACATGACATGCTAAATACTACCTCTAGAGTTTGAACTAAACTAACTACAAATGGCTTGACAGAAGATAGTGGAAAATACGTAGCATAATATTCCCCATTAATCCAGCTGAGACATGGTCCCTGTTCTCCTTAAATATCTTAATATTCTTAAGGGAAAGCAATAGGTAAAACACAACTTTTCAATCTGTGAATAAATATAACCAGCACAAATATTAATGCAGAATCTGGTTAATTAGTTTTTAACTTGTAAAGACTGGATTTCAATAACTACAATGTTCGTTACAAACAGAAAGTACTTAGGTTAAATAAAAAATAATACTCAAAAAAGATTTCTGCCCAGCCGGGTGTAGCTCAGCGGTAGAGCGTCGACCTAGGAACCAAGAGGTCACCAGTTCGATTCCCAGTCAGGGCATATGCCCAGGTTGCGGGCTTGATCCCCAGTGGGGGGCGTGCAGGAGGCAGCCAATCAATGATTCTCTCTCATCACTGATGTTTCTATCTCTCCTTCTCCCTTCCTCTCTGAATAAAAAAATAAAAAGTAAAAAAAAGATTTCTAATATTCTTAATGAAGATCTTGTTCAGGGTTTGTGTCAAAGCACTTACTATATCTCCAGAAAAATCACGGAAATGAGAACTCTCGTAAGACTAATAAATTTTTTAAAATATTTTTTTATTGATTTCAGAGAGGAAGGGAAAAGAAGAGAGAAACATCAATGGTGAGAGAGAATCATTGATCTGCTGCCTTCTGCACACCCCCCAATAGGGGTTGAGCTTGAAACCTCCTGGAATTGAATCGTGACCTCCTAGTTTATAGGTTGATGCTCAACCACTGAGGTATAAATATGCTATCCTATATAATAAAGAGGTAATATGAAAATTAACCCTCATGCCCTCATAAGATGGCTGCCTATGACCAGGCCAGCAGGGGGGTTAGTGAGGGACCGAGGGATCCCAGAATGAAGAGGCTGGGCTGACAGCACCCCCAACCCCTCATGCACGAATTTCGTGCACTGGGCCTCTAGTCTTTTTATAAAAAAGTCCCTTGACTACAGTATGTTTCAATGAAATGATCAAGTTATCAATCAAAATGTCAACACATTATAAAAGGGGAGCCCATATAATGTTAAAATTGTCCCTGATGATTTAGCTAATCAAAATATATGGAGCACAATATCAAATGCTTTCCTATGAATTTTAACTCTAAAGAGAAAGCCTAAGATGCTAAATAGAAAGCATATGAAGCTAACACTAAAAATAAATAGGTAAACCAATCAAATAACCTTTTATAAAAAACATTCATGCTCACAAGATAATACAAACTTCTGTCATCCAAAACTTGACCATAGAAAATTGGTGACTCCTAATACTTTTTTGAACACTCTAGAGAGCACTGTATGCATACACAACAAAATAGACATATGCCTATAATTTCATAAAAATAATATTGTATTCCTGATTTATAACCTGTTTTTTCCAATGAACAATATTTTTTGTGTGTGGGTTGTGGTGTGTCAATGTGAATTCCTCTATCATTTATCTATCTATTCATTCTTTATTAAGGTACTAGAGGCTCGGTGCAAATAATTTGTGCACAGGAGGGGGGGGTGGGGGGGGGAGCCTCAGCACAGCCTGCACCCTCTCCAATCCGGGACCCCTTGGGGGATGTCTGACTGCTGGTTTAGGCCTGATCCCCAGGATCAAGCCTAAAACGGAAGTCAGACAATCCCTCTCACAATCTGGGACTGCTGGCTCCTAACTGCTCACCAGCCTGCCTGCCCTATGGCCCCCAAATGTCCCCCTGCCATCCTGGTCACCCCCAAATACCCCTCTTGCCAGCCTTGTCGTCCCCAACTGCCCCCCCCATGGGCCTGGTCACCCCCAACTGCCCCCCTTGCCAGCCTAGTTGCCCCTAACTGCCTCCCCCCATGCTGGCCTGGTCGTCCCCAACTGCACGCCCCCTGCCGGCCTGGTCACCCCACACAGCCTGCTGTTTAGTCATTTAGTTGTCCCTCACTAACCCCCCTGCCGGCCTGGTCGCCCCATGCAGCCTGCTGTTCAGTTGTTTCGTCTTCCCTCACTAACCCCCTGCTTGTCGCCCCACGCAACCTGCTGTTCAGTCGTTACTGTTACTGTGACGGCGTCCTGAACAATTTGCATATTCCTCTAATATTTGTATAGATTACATGTGTCCTTATTCCCCCAACCCTCCCCCATACCTACCCCCGACTCGTGCCTTCACCCCCCTAGTGTCTATGTCCATTGGTTATGCTTATATGCATGCATACAAGTCCTTTAGTTGATTTCTCCCCCAACCTCCCCTGCCTTCCCTCTGAGGTTTGACAGTCTGATAGATTCTCTGTCTCTGGATCACTAACAATATTAACAGGTATCTTTGTCAATGAACATAAGTCTAGATTGTTTTTTACCCACTGTTGCACAATATTTCATAGTAGGTATGTACTATAATTTATTTTAACAACCTTATACTGAGGGACATTCAGCTGTTCCACATATAAACAATCCCAGATTAAAATGTTGGCCCATATGATAGGGGGAAATATATCTAGACTTGAGTAACCCTTTGTCTCACAAATTGCTTTCATTTCCCGGTTTCTAACTTGCCTTTCAATCTTGTTTAATTGCCACTTTTAATTGTTATGTAGACAAATTATCTTGCAACCTGTTGTGATTTCTGGATTTCATATCAAGCTTTAAAAGACCGTAACCCTTACTTCCTCAAATAAGTCTTCTTTTGCCAGTTCCTTCTACGCTCTATCCCCAATTTGTTAAGATTCCCTAATGTTACATCCTCTTGGTACGTTGCACTCCTGCCAACAACACATTACTAACTCTGTAATTACTATTTATTTTGTTTTCTCTGCTAGACTCTAAACCTCATGATGACTATTTTATGACTGTTATAGCCTTAGTATCTGGAAGAATCTTATTATAAGCATTCAATTTCTTTTTTGAAATAACAAGAGATAAATGACAGTAATAAATCTCAATTCCTTTGCTTTAAGTATATTTCTTAAAGACAGTACATAGTGAAGTTTACAGCTTTTTGATCCATTCTAGAAGCTGCCAAAGAACTTTCAAATACTGTCCAGATGAACAGATTGGGGAGTTTAAGAATCCACTCATATTGTTGGGCATAGTAGGCCTAGAAATTTTTTCCTTTATTAGATTAAGTTCCATTTTACAAGAAATGTAAAATTTCAAAATTTGTTTCTGTTTTGCTTTTATTTTAATTACTAGAGGCCCAGTGCACAGATTCGTGCACCAGTGGGGTCCCTCAGCCTGGCTCCCACTCATTCTGGCCCCGCTATGCCTACTGCCACCGCCGCTCGATAGCACCGCCGCAGAGACGGGAGAGGCGCGCACCGCTGCAGCTGCGCTTGCCAGCCGTGAGCCTGGCATCTGGCACCCATCAGTAAGCTCTATCCCAATCCGTTGAGATATTGCTTCCCAGAAATTGTCCACAGTTTGACTCAAATAAACTCACAAAATTTCTTTATAGGTTTGAATGTTTTTTACATTTAAAACATGATCTGTCCAGCAATGATTCTACTATGGTTACATGGAAGATACTGAATATACTAAATACAACAAAAGCAATACTTAAACCTATTTCGTAATTTGTCAACTTTAATAATACATTGATTGTCTTTATGTTAAACTAGAGGTCTAGTGCACGAAATTCTTGCACTCTGCGGGGGGGGGGGGGTGTTCTTCAGCCCAGCCTGTGCCCTCTCGCAGTCCTGGAGCCCTTGGGGGTTAGCCTAAGCCATCAGTCAGACATCCTTAGTGCTGCTGTGGAGGCGGGAGAGGCTCTCGCCACCACCGCTGTGTTCGCAAGCCATGAGCCTGGCTCAGGGCTTCTGGCTGAGCAGGACTCCTCCTGTGGGAGCACACTGACCACCAGGGGGCAGTTCCTGCATTGAGCATCTGCCCCCTGGTGGTCAGTGCACATCATAGTGACCGGTTGTTACACTGTTTGGTTGATTTGCATATTAGCCTTTTATTATATAGGACAAATAGCCCAGTGCACGAAATTCGTGCACATTAAAAGGGAATTAGCGGAGATATTTTAACACATTGTTTGAGGGTAGTTTTTATCGCGCGCTAACAGGTGGCGCGGGCCATTTTTGCTAATTTTTTGCGCAAATGGCAACGTTCAGTAAAATTACGATAACTTTAGTTTACGTATTTATACATTACCTGCATTCTACTGCTAGTCTATAAAAAATGTATTAATACGTGTCCGGCGCTCTACTACACTGGTAGAACGTATAAATACATAAAACGTATAAATACGTTTCCCGCATA